ACCAGGGTGTGATCCCCTGAGTGCTGTGCCGGCCCCGCCCCTGGGGCATGCTGAGATGGTGACTGAGACTGGGCGTGGTGGCACATGCCTGCAATCCCAGCGCTCAGCAGGCTGAAAACAAGAGGATCACTATGAGTCCATCCTACATAGTGAGGCCCTGTAGACCCTGTACTAAATACATTAAAAAAAAAAAAAAGAAAAGAAAAGAAATGTGGCAGTGATAACAATAACCTCACATAGAGCTCTGAGGATTGAACAGAAGGTAGATTGACAGTGCTTTGTTATGGTTCATGGTAAGCTGTCAATAATACTGTTATAGTAACACAAGAGCGTATCAAAGAAGTGGCATCCAGATAAAAACTATTTATTAAAATACAATAATCCGTGTGTCTCACAAGCACCGGCTACAAGTCAACTTAATGCTACTTCTCTGAAAGCTTGTCCACTCCACCCCATCATACTGTTTCTTTGTTACCAGGCTCAGGCAATATCATTGTCACCATCAAGTCGCCTTTCTCCCCTTCACCTCTCCTTCTAAATATCCTTTCCAATTTTAGATACCGGGGACATCCCATACCATCTATTGGTGCTGGTTCAGAAATAAAATTGCAAAGTACCTGTCAAGCCTTCAATGAAGGCTGACTGCTGTACATCTCCACTGATGGTCAAGACAAGAATTTTGTACTGGCGCCCTGGTGTGAGGGAAGTGAACCAAAACTCGGTCGCGGTATTCACAAGGTGAAAGGAAGGAAATACTTTCATGTCATTGAAGAGCAGCTGGATCTCATACTGGTCAACATCCCCATCTGCTCGTGACCAGGTCACATGTAGGTCCTCAGTGCTTCTATTCCTCAGTGTCAGATCCTTCACAGCCTCTGGGACTGGGCAGAAAAAGAGAAGATGCTTCAGGACCGGCACTCATCAGAGCTTAGTGACACGGTAACTTATGAAATGACATTTAAGAATCTGACAAACATCTCTCTTGTCCAAATAAAACATGTGATCTATTTCATGCATAATCCAGAAAAATTGGAATCACCCATTACAACTGTGAGTTTTTTCTTGACACTAAACCTATGTGTTGCATGCTGGTAGAATGTAATTGTAAAAGGTGATAAGAGCTTCACTGTAAGATAAAATAAATTTAGAATTTTAATGCTGCAGTGCCAAAAGGCAGGGGAGAAAATGGAATATTTGGCCTTCTTTCTCCCCATCATGCTTGCTGTTACCTACCAATGAATATTCTATAAGGATGGACCATAATGCTTACTGAGATTGTAACTTACCAATCAGCAATCAAAAAACAATCAAGCTTGAACTAAGTTACTCAGTCACCTTCACCTTCAGTCAATCTGCAGTCGCTCCACTTACTTGTTCTACCATTTCCTTGTTCACTGGCTTCATATTGTCCACTCTTTGTACTAACAGTGATGCTGTACAGCCGTCCGGGCACAAGCTGAACAAATACACACTCATTTTCTGACTTGGGAATGCTTTTCGTTTGGATGAAGTTGTTTTTGTTTTTAATGGTGACTTCGTAGAGATCGAAGTCCCCTGTGGCATGCAGCCAGGACACCTTCAAATAGTCACTCCTGGCTGAGTTGCTGACACTGACACCCTGGACCTTGTCAGGCACTGAAAAAGAACAGAGGGAAGA